TTAAGAGATTTGTGGGTTAATTGATAATGTCCATTTCAACTGTAAAACATAGTAACTTATGTACACAGCTCATTGAATATTCTTGGGCAATAATACTCATGCCTACTTCTGATCCCACCGGTTAAGTGTTCTGCTCTAAGAATGGTTGTATTTGCTCCCAAACCTATTTAATTGTATATCTGTAATTTGATCACAAATATTGTGATTCTTTCTGAATAGTTTTAATTATATAATTTGACTAAATTGTAAAGAAACCTGTTGTTTCCGTGAAAGAGCTTTGGAAAGATTTAATGCTAGTGAATGGCTATAAAAATTATTGTTAAATTATGTATGGGAGAGACAACTTAAAAGTTTTCAAAAAAATCATAAAAGGCTGGAGGGATTCCATACTTAGATTGCTTCTTAAATGTATTTAGTTTCTTAAAAGCCCTTCTCTAAAGACATCCAGAAATGTAAATCAGAGGTGATGTTGTGCTGATTAAGAGTATAAACTTTGGAGCCAGACAACCTGTGCTTGAATTTTATCTCTACTATTTACTAATTGTGTAATCTTAGGCAAGTTTCTCAACCTCATATGTAAAATGAGGATAATAATAGTTGCTACCTCCAAGCGATATTGGAAGGATTAACTATAGCTGGTACATTATTAAGTGCTCAACTATTATTATTAATACTATTACTGCTACTATTTATGTAGTGTATTCAAGAATGACTACCTGGAACATTTATTGGTGGACCCATTCTCAAAGAAAAGACCTGGGCTTTATGTCAAACAAACTGATAGGTAAATGCACATGTAGCTTTATGTTAAAATAAATGTTTCAATTCTTCTCTTTAGCCAGCTTTCCCAATTAACTAGTTCCAATCCTAATTGCTTCTGATAAAGGATTTTCCTATAGGTTAGTTTTAATTTCTATAAATTATGAGTTTAAAAACACACATATAAGACCCAAATCCTATCAAAATGTAAAGCTTCTGTGGCATATAAGCATCACTCCACCCAGTCTTTTCTTTTCATGCATTTTTTTAAAGATTAAGAGTCTAAAACAATAAAGCAATCTGTCTGTGGCCCATAACACCCCATCTCACTCTGACTCTGCTCTTCTGTCTCAATGTACACTCATATGAGGGCCAAGGTCCTTTAAAGCTGAGATTGCCTTCTGTAGGTGGTCCAGGAAGAGTCCCTTTGTTTCTGCTTTCGAACATTTCAGTGTTGTTATGTCTCTGTTGTTTTCTTACCTTACAGAATCATATTTAAGTAGATGGTGTTAGAACTATCCTAAGACCTACCTAGCCTGTTGTATTGCCCTGGGTCACCCAGAAGGGCCTACCAACTAGAAATGAGGGAAATGAATCACTACCTTCTGACAAAATAAACAATTTCCTTTTTCTTCTTTGGGATCATAATAACTTCTGGTTAGACAACAAAGGGCTGAAGTGAAAGGGTAGTGGGATCCCAGGTTGCTTCTGATAGAATCATCTCCAAGATTTAGTAGTTAGGAATTGGGCTTTTCTCAAATATTTTATACTGTAAATTTGCAATTATTTGGGGACAAAATGCTTCCCCACTTTTTGAATTGGATTGGGGGAAAATACCTCAAAGTATGCAGCTGTTTATCAAAAGGGAAGACTAATAAGAAGGAAGAAAGTATCATGTAAAAATATTTATTTTTCCCCCTATACCTTGAGGATAATACAAAAACATTTATTAAGGTCAGGCTTTATTTGGCTTCTTCCCAGGGATTATAAAAGACTTGGCTCCTCTTCTCCCAGCACTGATAGATTTAGAAAATCAACTCAGATTGTGATGAAAATAAAGAAATATTAGAGCTGAAGATGGAATAGCCAACAAACATTCAAACTAAGTAGAGAACAAATAGAAAACTATTAAATGTTGCCACTATTTTTTTTTTCTGTTCTGAAAACTGGATATTTATTTGACTAAAGGAATTCAGGAATCAAATGTACTAGATTAAGAATCACAACTTTTAGTATTAAAAGGGATACTCATGGTTTAGAGGCAGTGGCACTAAGTGAGGTGTCAGAAGTTCTGAATTCTAGTCTCAGCTCCACCATGTATTAAGGTGAAACTGGTGAAGACTCCTAACCTCTCCAAGATGAGTGAACTGGGACCAAATACTTACTAGGTTATAATCTAGAACCTTGGGCACAGTGCTTAACTTTTCCTAGCCTTGGATTCACTATTTGCAAAATCGGGATAATAATAGAACCAAACTATTATGAGTAGAAGTGATGATTATATGAAATAACATATGTAAAGGGCATAGTGCTGTGTCTGGCATATAAGCGTTCAACAAATATTAGCTGTAATTTATTTATTTATTTGTCAAGGAGGAGGTTAGAGACATCGGCAGGAAGGAATTCATGTCAAAGTTGGTGGCATTAGCTTATTATAAGGGAGCTATTTTTAATAGTTATTATTTACAACTTTTTCAGCCTCTAAAGAAATGCTGGGACCCTAGGGCAAGATAGAATTAAGATTGCTAATAAAATGACCTTCAGATAGGGAGATTATTCTGGATTATCTGGATGGGCCCAATATAATCACAAGTGTCCTTAAATGTGGAAAAGGTAGGCAGAAGTGTCAGCATGTCAGAGTAATGCAATTGCTGGCTTCGAAGATGGAAGGGGGACATGAACCAAGGAATGTGGGCGGCCTCTAGAATGTGGAAAAGACAAGAAAAAAGATTCTCCAAAAGAACCTCCAGGAAGGAGCTCAGCTCTGCTGATACCTTGATTTTAGCCCAGTGTGACTCTTCAGACTTCTGACCTTAAGAACAGCTAGATAATAAATTTGTGTTGTTTTAAGCCACTGAGTTTGTGGTAATTTTTTTACAGCAATCACGAAAAAATAACACAGAGACATTGTTAAGAAGATTTGTTAATAACTGAATATTTGAGAGAGAGAGAAAGAGAGAGAGAGAGATCAAAGATAATTCCAAGGCTGTGTTCCTTAAATACAGACGTTCTATGGTGGACATCTTTTTTATCTTTTTTTTTTTCCTGTCTGTCCGGTACATTTCTCTTCTGAAAACAACATTTCCCACTACCCTTTGTTTTCGTTTAGAAATTTTTCTCTTTATTTTTTCTCCAACCATGTGGTTCTGCCAGGGGCTCCATTCTTATGTCACGCATGCATTTTCTCTGCAGGAGTGGTTATGGTACTCGATTATACTCAAACTTTTCATCTGGTATTTTAAAAACCAGAAGTGAGAGAAGAGACACCTTCCATCTGGTAGCAACTTGATGGGTATGAGCCCACAATTTATCAGAGGTCATGGTTCCAAGACAGTAGAACATGACTTTCGGAAGTTCTGAAAGAATGACACCGTCTGAGAGAGGCAGAATTGAGAGCCTGAGCTGGAATTTAAAGCATTCCAGTTGCTGCTTCCATTTATTCCTAAGGCCATTTATTCCTAAGGTAGACCTACCCTTTCACATCTCGGGTTACACAATAACTTCCTCTTTTTGCCTAAGCTACTCAATTTTGTTTTCGTCACTCCAACCAAAATATCCTGAAAAATTTAGGCAAAAACGAAGAAACCAAACCCAGTAATCAAATGAAAAGTTAAAAAAAACCACATGTACACCTCTATTAACTATGCAAAAATTACCTTTATTTCACCTTCTGAATGTGAAACATTTCACTAGTGAAATGAATAGGATGAAGTCCTGCTTCTAGGCACTTACAGATTTATTCATTCTACAATATGTGTCTGCATTACCAACATATTACACCTTTTGGCAATAGGTCCTCCCTATGATCTCCCTATACTTATTTGACAAATGCAAAATAGAAATGAGTTCAAGAAAGTCTGGTTTGTAAAATACACAAATGGGAGCACCACAAAGGTTGATTGGAAAAATTTTAGGATATTCCGATCTCTAAGAACAATTACCAGACTCTCCCATAAAATGCTTCCATCGCAGTCAAAATACTTGCTGAGAAAGACTATTGGTGTGGCCCTGTGGCCATTCTTTTATTCATAATAAGCCAAATGTTTCTTAATTTCATCTTAAGTAAAAGAATGGGAAATTAGTTTGGAATAAATCACTGCAGGCCCATAGCCCAATTCACTTGGATTCACTCAGGTGTGTGTTTATTTTAATAGCTGATCTGAAGGCATGTGAGATGACACAGCTGACTAAATGCTAAACATAAAAGCACAGAACTTAAAACTAAGCACGCATGCAGCATGGAATAATAATCAAGTTAGCTTCCTTAAAATGCTAAATGCCAGAAAACCTCCAACCATTAGGTCAAAGTTTACAGCAGCACAGGCCTTATATTCTAAGAGGGGCTTTTAGCATTCTAGGGTTCAAATTCTAAGATAGCTACCTAAAAAGTGGGGCCAAAGATGGGTCTTATTTCACAATCCATATTCTTCTTCCCAAGATATTCAGGTTTGTTCAAGACTCTTTTAAAGAAAAAGCAGATTGTTGTCACCAAAAGTTGTTCAGAAACAGAGGCAAGAGAAATTTTCCTCAGGGAAAAGGGCAATCCCCTGAGCTGCAATAGTGGGCAATGGTTGGATAGTCACCAACCACGACCTGGGCTCGCACACAGGCGGTCTGTGGATGAAAAATCAACATACCGCTCTCTTCCTGAGAGCTGAGGACTGCACGCGATGAGGAGAAATGACGAGGAAAAAGAATAACGTGTACTGAGATAGATACGGGAAAGGGGAAAAGGCTGGCGGTGACCCAGGGTGGCTAGAGGGAGAGAAGTAGCGGCCCAAGGGCTCGCTGCTTGCCCCGCGCCAAGCTGAGCTTTCTCCAGGGTGAGTGGAGGAGCCTCGACGGCTTTTCTGTCAGCGTTATAAGCAGACATCAAGAGCGGAGAGCTCCACCCGGGTGCCGCCAGCGCCTAGTCTTCTTGGCAGAGACGGCCGAGGCGGCCGAGGCTCCGCCCCTCGTTTCTCACTCCCGCTTGGTCCCGCCCCTTCTCTACTAACCCCGCCCCAGCCCGGCCCCCGCCGCTTCCCACCTCCCTTCCTGTCCGCGCTCCTGGTTCCTGGCTCCTGCTAGGCTCGGCAGTATTGGGAGCGCGCAGGCGCGGCGTGCGGCTCGTAAGGCGCGGAGTAGCGGAGCGGGACGCGCTGTGAGTGTGGCGGCCGCGCGGGGCTCCTAGCGGGAAACGTGGTTTGGGCCGAGCGTCCCAGGAGGGGTCGGGGTGTGTGGGGGTGACTTCGATCCTATGAGGAGAAACTAGCCAGACGTGCAGGAGCGTTGGTGGCAGTGCTGCCTGAGGGTGTTGGAGCCGGGCCGCGTGGGGAACAGAGTGCATGGTGGCGGGAAGTAAGCGAGGGTGTGTTAAGAGGAGAAAAATTGAAGGAAGGGGGTTCAGAGGCTGAAAGTCCGCACACGGGCTGGGAAGACCGGGAGGCTTGCCAACGGTGCTGGAAGGTGTCCCAGCTTCAAGTTCAGTCCCCCGCTTGGTGCCATGAGCGGCGTCCCAGGGTTCTTTCCTCGCGCGCTTCCTTCTCCGGGTGCAGAGTTGCCAGGAACGTTCCCCGTAACAGGGGAGAGGATTTGGGGGATGTGGGCAGTCTGCCCAGGCTAGTGGCAAGGAGGGCGTGGCGTTCGTGTGACTTTCCTTTACCCCGCCCCCGGGAATGTGTCCCTCTTCTGGTCCATTGTGCTCGTGGACATTTTAACAAAGGCTATGACTGTTTTGTAGGCAGTGGCGGGTGACAGGGTGGGAGGTGCGTGCGAGGTCGCGCGGTGCAGCCCTGGGGGACGGGGGAGATGGGGGGCCCGGCGTTGGGGGCAGTGGAAGATAAGGGAACAACCTTCCTGCTTCAGCTTTTTCCTTCTTCCTGGTCCGCTCGCTGGTTTTGATCACTAGTAGGAACAGACCCAAGAGAGACATGACTGGAAATTAGTATATGTGTTTGGACACTGGCCACAGCCATTGGTTTTGTGATTGTGCTGTTCGTGCTTTTTCTGAGTTCCTTTAGGAGAAAAGCGAAACTAATGGAATTTGAGAGGAACTAATTGAGTAAGAGGGTGGAAAGGTGGAGTGACAAAACGTAGAGCTAAATTATTGCCTTTTGATAGTCCTAGTATAAAGCCAGACTTTGAAGGATGTGAAGCTGTACAAGTCAGGATTAGTGAGAAGTTGGTTAGGGTACTGTGGATTTCCAATCAAGATTGGATTATTGGGCATGTGTGTGGGTGTGCTATCAAGTTATTGGGAAGATTCACTTTAGAACCTTTAAAAATGATATTAAGGAGACAGAACACTAGGGCAAATATTGTAATATTGGATAAGGTTCCATAGGCTTTCATTTTGAAATTTAAAATCTTTTATGAAAAATAGTATATGTGTTCCTAAGCATAAACGTTGATATTTTTACTCATTTGTTTTAACTTATTACAACAAAATAAACTGAACTTCCTCCTCCTCCACCCCTTTCCCTTGATTGTCAATCCTGTTTTATAAACATTTACTTTCAGATCTGAAGTATGTTTAAAGACACAATCTGTCCCCCACCCACCGCATGAAGTGAATAGAATTTCTTCTTGTTTTATTGTTATTTTATTCTTTGTTTTCCTTTTATTCTAAGTTTTATGATGCTAACATTACCAAATTCGAGGAGTGGTGGTGGTGTTAGGGATGCCCTTTCTCTTTTCCAGTGCCTGATGCACTCCTATTCATCCTTCCAGACTCAGCCCAATTCACTTGGAAAAATTTGCCAACTTATCCAGAATGAATTAATCACTACCTTTTCTGTTAAATTGATATCACTGGCCTTATTTCTTTCTTGCTACTATAACCTCAGTCTTCTGTGTTACCCAATACCTAGAGCTACCTGGCATGCGGTTAAGCACCTAATAAACTAACTTACAGTTAGATGTTAATAAATACTGTTAGAAAGATAGTAATTCATAGTGCATAAAGTTAATGGGATAGTAGAAGAATTTCAGAATACTGAAATTATATTTAATATTTGAGCAGCATTATTTGGGATATGGATAAGGAATAAGTATGGAAATATGTTCTCATGTATTAGTCATACTTTATCCTTCTGAAAGGTGCAAGAACTCTGCAGATAAAGGGAAAATGGGGATCAGAAAAAGCCCAACTTTTTCAAAAGGCCAACTTCTGATACTGAAACTACTGAAAAGCCAATTTGTAACATAAAATCAGCCATTTGTAGAAACACACAAATAGGGTATTGGTAGAAATTAGGAAGTACTATAAATGAATCAAGTTTGCCAGATGGTATCCTTTGAAGGCTAATGTAACTAAAGAAAGCTGTTACCTAACCAGTTGTGTTGTACTCCTTCTAGATCTTAAGGTAGTTTGAGCCTTTAGCTACTGGGTTTCTTCATGTTATGGTGTTCCCTGATAGGCTTGGTCTCTGACCTTTTCTGCCAACCTGTGTTTGACATCTCTCTTAACTCCACCAGCATCACTGGCCTTCCAGTCACATCTGGCTCATAACAGAAATTATCTCCCTCCTGATCTTTGTCAGATTCACTCAATCTCATTACCTCCACCTGCAGTTTTCATCGCCTGAGTAGATTTACCTATTGGAGAAAATATTATGAGCAAATGATCACTCACTTTATAAAAAGAATGGAATTGATTCTTTGGTTTAAAAATGGGCCAGGATTGGCTACTTAGTTAGTCAAGATTTCTGTGCCTGCAAAGCAAAGAAACTATTCTGGCCATTAATAATAAGTGTCTTGTAGGCTGTACCATCTAGGTTTGTATAAGTGCACTGTATGATGTTTGCATAATGATGGAATCACCTAACTGCAAATTTTTCACAATGTATCCCCATCCCTGTCATTAAACTATATATGACTGTATTAAGAGCTTATAATGTCTAGCACATACTAATGCTTTAAAAATGATAGCTTTCACAAGAATGGAAGAATAGGCTCCACATGTATTCTCCATCAAATTGGCACTAACTGATCAACCCTATGGTGCTCACATGGTAGTAATATTCTTCAGGGACTGGGGAGTTGAGGGTGGGTAAACTCACAACTAATGGATGCAGTGAGCATGATAGGGGGGAAAGGCATGCCTCATATCATGGTTTGGGTGTGGCAAAGTCATAACATGTAACCAAAATGTTTGTACCCCCATAATATCCTGAAATTAAAAAAATGGTAGCTATTATTTGTGTTTGCTGTTTTCTTGTGAGCTCCCATTATTTCAGTAGCAATTAACTTCAGAATGTGGATGCATTGACATCTCCCACTGTGTTCAAGCTCCAGTTCTGTATTTGTAGATTCCTCTCATGTATTTCCAACAGGTTGCTTAGCATAGTGGTTCTCAAATTTTAGTATACACGATAATCACAAGAATGCATACATTTTTAGGCCTCACTTCCAGAGTTTCTGATATTTGGGATAGAACATGAGAATTTCCATTTCTAATAAGTTTCTAAATGATGGTGATGCTGCTGACCCTGGGAAAACACTGAGCAGCACTTATTAATATCTAGATGGCATTCAGACAATTTGGTGGGGAGAAAGGGAAAGGAGACCAAAAGACCAAACATTCATAGAAGAGCAGAGTGCACGTAAACCTGCTAGTGTCAGATATCCTGTAAAGTGTGGAGAGGATAGGACTGAGAGAAGACACTTGGATTTGATGACCAGGAGGTTTTATTTTTGTTTGATTTTGGTTTGTGTCAGGTGCAGAGGGTTGATTTAATTATACTCCTCAGTTGGTGAAATATTATATTGTCATTATTATGACCAGAAAAACATATCACAGGTATTTGAGATAATGCTCCTTAATGTGTTGTGTGCATCAGACTCTCATAGGGAGTTGTTTCCACCAACATACTATGTTTAGTGCCCTGCCCTCTAATATAAACCTATCAAATTGGGATTTCCAGGTATGGAATCTAGGCATGAAAAAAATTCCCTGGTTAAGAACCCCTTCTTTGAGCAATGGTGGTCAGGATGTGGAGGCAGTGAAAATAAACTACTTTGCTGGTAAATTGTTGGTGAAAGGAGAATGGAAGAAAACAATTGAAGTTTGAAGGTTTTACAGGATCAAGAAAATGGGAATGTGTAGAGAGGTAAAGCCTGCTGGAGCTGGGGAGTGACTGAAGGTATAATGGTAAGAGGATATAATTGATGGAATAGAGTACTGGAGCGGGAGAGAAGAGAATGGACTTAGGGGCACCCAGAGAAAAGAGGAGAAAAGAATGAGTGAAAACAAAAATAAATTACCATAAAATTGGTACTAATTGATCAACACTTATGTGCACATATGGAAGTATCATTCATCAGGTGTCAGGGAGCGGGGAGGAGGGGATGGGTATATTCACATCTAATGGGTGTGGTGCGCATTATTTGGGGGATGGGCATGCTTGTACCTCTGACTGGGGCGGTGCAAAGGCAATATATGTAACCTAAATGTTTGTACCCACGTAATATTCTGAAATAAAAAAATAAAAATAAATACATCTGAGGGTGAATGTGGGAAAAGCTAAAGAACTCTCTTTAAAGGAGGTTTGTTAGCAAACTGCTGTTCTTCATAGAAGCTTGAGTAGTCTGTGAACTCTAAGTAGAATGGATATTTTTCAAGTTTAATAATGCTAGCAAATGAATTAGTAATTTCAGCTATTCCAGCTACCTGTAATGGTTGCACAATTGTATTTTTCCTCAACTTTTCTATTTAGAAAATTTTTTGAAATTAAGTCTTGACATGCTGTTTTGTAATGCTATTGCTCTAGCACTTGCCATACGACTGCTATATCCTAAGTTTTATATGATTTTTCACTCAATTATTCAACAATTATTTGTGTGCCAATCGATTGCCAGGCATTGTTCTAACCACCGAGTGTACAACAGTGAATAAAACAGTTGTATTTTATTGTAAATTTCTGTCCTCAGGAGCTTACATCTTATTTGAAGGAGGCAGATAGTAAATAAAGTAAATAAGTAAAATATAGGAAATATTAGATATATATAATTATTAGTATACATATACACATACCATACATATATTAAGACATATAGTATTGCATTCTTTAGAGAGATACAAAGCAGGGAAGGTGACTAGGGGAGCACCAATAGGTATTTACCTATAGGCAGATAGGGTGTGTTGGAGGGTAGTGATCAGGG